AGTATCCTTACAACAGCTAAGGTCAAATGAAGACAGGAGTATAGGTATTACTACTGCGGTCCTCATGGATAGGACTGTTTGTTCAAAGTATCCTTACAACAGCTTAGGTCAAATGAAGACAGGAGTATATGTATTACTACTACAGTCCTCATGGATAGGACTGTTTGTTCAGAGTATCCTTACAACACCTAAGAACAAATGAAGACAGCAGCATAGGAATTACTACTCCGGTCCTCATGGATAGGACTGCTTGTTCAAAGTATCCTTACAACAGCTAAGGTCAAATGAAGACAGGAGTCTAGGTATTACTGCTGCGATCCTCATGGATAGGACTGTTTGTTCAAAGTATCCTTACAACAGCTAAGGTCAAATGAAGACAGGAGTCTAGGTATTACTGCTGTGGTCCTAATGGATAGGACTGTTTGTTCAGAGTATCCTTACAACAGCTTAAGTCAAATGAGGACAGGAGTATAGGTATTACTGCTGTGGCCCTCATGGATAGGACTGTTTGTTCAGAGTAGCCTTACAACACCTATAGTCAAATGAGGACAGGAGAATAGGTATTACTGCTGTGGTCCTCATGGATAGGACTGTTTGTTTAGAGTATCCTTACAACAGCTAAAGTCAAATGAAGGCAGGAGTATAGGTATTACTGCTGCGGTCCTCATGGATAGGACTGTTTGTTCATAGTATCCTTACAACACCTATAGTCAAATGAGGACAGGAGTATAGGTATTACTGCTGTGGCCCTCATGGATAGGACTGTTTGTTCAGAGTATCCTTACACCACCTACAGTCAAATGAGGACAGGAGTATAGGTATTACTGCTGTGGCCCTCATGGATAGGACTGTTTGTTCAGAGTATCCTTACAACAGCTTAAGTCACATAAAGACAAGAGTCTAGGTATTACTACTGTGGTCCTCATGGATAGGGCTGTTTGTTCAGAGTATCCTTACAACAGCTAAAGTCAAATGAAGGCAGGAGTATAGGTATTACTGCTGCGGTCCTCATGGATAGGACTGTTTGTTCGGAGTATCCTTACAACAGCTTAAGTCAAATGAGGACAGGAGGATAGGTATTACTGCTGTGGTCCTCATGGATAGGCCTGTTTGTTCAGAGTATCCTTACAACAGCCTAAGTCAAATAAAGACAAGAGTCTAGGGATTACTACTGTGGTCCTCATGGATAGGACTGTTTGTTCAGAGTATCCTTACAACAGCTTAAGTCAAATAAAGACAAGAGTCTAGGTATTACTACTGTGGTCCTCATGGATAGGACTGTTTGTTCAGAGTATCCTTACAACAGCTGAGGTCAAACGAAGACCGGAGTCCAGGTATTAGGATTTGTACCATAAATGTATCATTGGTGGTAAGCTAAGGTTCCATTTTATGGCCACCCCTTCTTGAACAAATTCCATAAAATAGGGTTATTTCCTGATGTACTTGACCCCTTACCCAAACTATAGGTTTTGTTATCACAGATCAACTGCAATCTAAATGTGAACAATCTGTAAAACTTTCTTTCCTTACGACTTTAAAATTGTTGCTTTTTTCAGCTATATTGATTCGAATTCCAGATCTTCACAGAACGAAAAGTGTGCAGATTTACAAAGATGTCCTGCATATAAATATAACAGTATTTTCCTTGTATTGAAAAACAATAAACAGTGAAATATGTTTGAAACACTGTAACTGGAACACTGAAAACAAGAATTTTAAGTATTGTGTAAAGGATAATCTGGTCCAGAGTAAGCAAGGCATTAGAACACTACTTCATTGACATGTACATGAACATGCCTCCCTTTCAGCCTGTAAGTCATTGAGATTCCTTTGTTGTTATAAACTATCATGCAAACTTTTTATACATGAATCAGAATTTTGAATTTATTGACGATGAACTTGTATGCTAGAGTACGGACGTGTACTGTGGAGATTGGTCGCCACCTTGGCACGTCTTCAGTGTATCGGGAAATTATCCTCTGCATCACTTAGCGCTATTTCCTGATCAAATTAAGATGGGGCTGCATTGAATATTAATGATAAAATATTGCATTACCAATGTAAAACAAGTATATTGTACCACAATATAGAACAATTAGCCGAAAACAGAGGTCAGGACTGCTAGCGAGTGCGTCTCCAGGGTCCCCTAACTATAATATACCTCATAGCTCTCAAGTATTGAACAAAGATTGGATACCGATGTTTTTACAGCGGTCAGGTTTGGTAGTGAGGACCCTGCTGTATTCCTTGTGTACCCAGTTTGTCTTAGATATGTGTTCCTTGTGTGTTCACTGTTATATACACTCATCAAAATTTTGATGCTACATATTTATGGTATAGGCCATGTTCATCTGTTTGTTCTTCCATCCACACTTCGATTTCCACAAGATAAAAAATATAGTTTAAAAATCATTTGATTTTGATGGAAATTGGTGAGCATTTACAATAAAAAAAGGAAAAAAGGTCAAAGTTGAGCAAAATCTGGGCAGAAATAATTAATCTACTCCGCTCTGATTTGGTCATTGCTTTGCTCACCGTATCAAATATGGCCAGATTCCTTATGACAGTTGGTCAATATTTTTATCATAGAAAGAAATAGAAATAGAGTTGATAAGATCTGATTGCATTTTTTTTGATGGGAGGTTTTTACACTATAACTTACTAAAATATGACTTGATTTTGGTTGGTATTTACACTTTATCTGCCAGTAACTGGTAATCACTCAGAAATAAATTTGCATTTGATAGCTTAAAAGTAATCCATTTTTGGAAAGTGCTTATTCCTTTTTAATGGTATGAAATATGGACAAAGGGAGGCAATTTCTATACCAATAAATATTTTTTAAAGATAAATGATATGTATGTTTGATACTTCAGCTTAGATACAAATAGAGATTTTTAGCCAACCACAATCTGATGTTGGGCCTGATCAAATTGTCCTTCGTCCATGGTTTGTCATCCGTCCGTCTGTCCTTACAGTTATTCGTTATCGCTTTTTCCAAAAGATGAAGGGGGAAAAAAATCTTGTACTACCATGTAGCACTTGTGACCATAGTTTGGCATGAGATTTGTGCATTGTACATTTGATAGTCAGCTCAGTATCTTTATTGTGATGTTATATTTTCTGCTGTTTCAGACCAGAGGACTACACCATACTAGAAGCGCCCATTCAAGACGAAGTAACAGCCATGGTAGGTTTAATTTGTATGAGTGGACTTTAAACAAACTTCCTTTGTGCTTGTGTACCCTACATGTTCATAAATATGCTGAAAGCAGGATTGATCAAAGTTTGAAAACACAGTGGTTCTCACCTGTCAGCATGAACAAGATGAAAAGTAATACCGGTAGTTGAAGGTTAAAAAAGAAAGAAAAAACTGTGACAGAGAGAAGTCTTTTGAGAAAAACACAATTTATTGATTTTATCTTATTGTGAAAAGATGTGAAAAGATGATTAGTTTTCCCAGAGAATGTAACTGTCAGTGCTGAAGTGTTTGGTCAATGATCAGTTGTTTAGGTCAATGTTATATTCTTTGATACTCCTTTAGGAATGTTTAATTAACATTTGTATGAGCTTATTTGTTAAGCTGTTATCTCTTTTAAATATGACACCAGATTAGTGTTCCCTTCTAAGATTTTTTAGTGGTAAAGATATATGACGCTAGTGTGTAGTGGTCAAGTTTTTGGCAGTGGTAGCAGCTACATCCCTATCAGTGGTAACAACAGGTCTGGGTCAGATCGTTGTTAGTGGTAACAGGGGTCTGATCAGGTATGGTTGGGAAACTCACACACACTTAAACCAAAGTTTAATGTCATTCACCAAAAAATCCTATTTAAGAGGAGGGGGTTGGTTCATAAAAATACACTTGGTAGGAGTTATGTCCCTTTTGAAACCCAACTTGTATAGTTGTTGTTGACTCTGCATCATTACAAATGCCGAATGACCCTGTATTGTAACTAACTTCACTGACCACGTATGGAGATGGACTATATTCACACTGTCAGGTGACTGACCAAACTGACCTTATATAAAAAAACAAAAAAAAAACTGACCACACTTACCCTATAAGGTAATTGACCCTACTTACCAAATATGGTTATAGACCATACTGAACCAATATGGTAACAATCCCTGTAGACAGAGTTTAACAGACTACCCAAATGCTGCTTTAAACCTAATACCATTATATTACACAGAATTCAGTGGTATAAATGTTGCTGCTTGATAGAATATATATTCTTCTCTAACATCAAGATAAATTACACATTAAAAGCAGAACAACACAGCAAACAAGCCACTATTTCTTAATCTTACAATGAAAGTGATGAATTGTTTCACAAAGAAGCATGCTGCTGATTTAAAGTTTCTGAAAGGTAACCAATGAAAGATCAGCTGTATAACTCATTCTATTGGTCTATGTCAGTATGTCCTAGATTGACTTCAAGCGGAATGTATTACCAGCTGAGCTGCTGTATACGTATAAACTATTTTTAGCTCACATGGCCCAAAGGGAGGGCCATGTGAGCTTATGCCGTGGTACAGCATCCTTCTTCGTCAACTTTATCCTTTAAAATGCTACTAGTCCTTTATGGCTTTGTGAATTTTGCCAAAATATCGTCTGCAGTATCCTTGGCTAATGGGTTCTTAATTTTGTATAAATGGAGGGTATGGGCCCCCTAGGGACAGAGGGTGGGACCAAATAGGGGATTTCAACCAGATTTGGTCTAGAGCATCCTTTTGCAAGTGAAACAGGGGAGAAAGAGATTGGACCAAATAGGGGAAATAAAGGTGGATCAATAAAATCCTTCACCTTCACCTATGAATTTATCCCCACCCTATTACCAAATATACAATTGCTAGACTTGAAAAAAAGAAAACATTCATACTACCATGATTGTCACTCCTGGAAACTACCCCATGGGTTATTACATGAAATCAGCCGAGATCCCCACGCCATAACCATATACAAAATGGGTAGGCATGAAGAAAACACTCATGTTCTTGCTGTCCTATCCACCTAAACGGTTTAAACAGTCCTTCTTATGTCTCATATTTCTTGAACTACTTTGATAAATTGGTAGAGTATCCACAGGTTTTGTATTGAAAATAAAAACAAGGTGAGCTATTAAGACCCCTGGGCCTCTTGTATTTATGTGAAGGGAGACATATTGTATTAGTACTGGTTCGTCTTCTTCTTCTTCTTCTTAAACCATTAAAGGTGTCTGCATCAACCACAGGAGGTGTGCAGTGCACTGGAATTAGGTCACTGTGCCCTTCACCTCAAGGTCAAAGGTCAAATAAGTGCACATTTTCAGTAAATTCTTGTCCGGCCCATAAATTTTAAACCGTTAAAGATATCTTAATCAAACTTGAAGGATACCTGCATCACCCACAGAAGGCGTGCAGGGCACTGGAACTAGGTCTCGTGCCCCACTATATACAGAGTTATGGCCCTTTGATTAATTTTAATGCCGAAGTTTGTCCAGAGCATAAGTTCTATGTTATTTCACCTACGTTGACCATACTTACCATATTGATGTATCTTGGGAAGGCAGAATTTCTCACACTCAAATCAGATGTTATGCTCCTCTAAATACAGAGTTATGGCCCTTTGTTTATTTCTAATACCGAAGTTTGTCCACAGCATAACTTCTAAACCATTAAAGATATCTTAATCAAACTTGAAGTATACCTGCATCACACACAGAAGGTGTGCAGTGCACTGGAATTAGGTCTATCATTAGGCATCACTATATACAGAGTTATGGCCCTTTGTTAATTTTAATACCTAAGTTTGTCCTTGGCATAACTTCCATGTTATTAAGATGCGGGTGCCCTATACTAATTCATCCGTCTGTCCGTCCGTCACAATCAAACAAGGTATTAACTGACCAAAGGTCAAGGTCACTGGGTCAGAGGTCAAGGTCAAATTTTGTATCTTTTCCCTGATGAACATTTTGTTATGACATTATGAAGCAAAGTTGGTTGGAATTTAACAAAGAGTCAACTGACTTAAGGTCAAGGTCAAAGGTTAAGGTAAAATTCAGTATCTTTTCACTGGGGAACATTTTGTTATGACACTTTGAAGCAAAGTTGGTCGGAATCAAACAAGGAATCAATTGACCAAAGGTCAAGGTCACTGGGTCAAAGGTCAAGGTCAAATTTTGTATCTTTTCACTGATGAACATTTTGTTATGACATTATGAAGCAAAGTTGGTTGGAATTTAACAAAGAGTCAACTTACTTAAGGTCAAGGTCACTGGGTCTAAGGTGAAGGTTACATTTTGTATATTTTCACTGGTTAACTTTTTGTTTTGACACTTTGAAGCAATGTTGGTCAGAATTAAACAAGGAATCAATTGACCAAAGGTCAAGGTCAAATTTTGTATCTTTTCACTGATGAACATTTTGTTATGACATTATGAAGCAAAGTTGGTTGGAATTTAACAA